AGTTTGGTGAGGAACCTTGATTGACACCCAAGTCTGACACTAAACCTAGGTTATTTGTCCCTTTAGTTTCTAATGGATCTGCTCAGTGTTTCAGCCAGGCAGTCTAAAGCAGTGGTTCTCAAACATTTTTTTCTCAGGACCCCTTTATACACTTAAAAGTGACAGAGGAGCCCAAAGAGCTTTTGTTTATGAGGGTTCTGCTATTGATATTTACTGCATTCGAAGTTAAAAGTGAGGAGCAACATGACAAAACCCTGTCTCTACAAATATATATATATACACACACGCACAAAAAAAAAGTAGTCGGGTGTGGTGGCACACACCTGTGATTCCAGCTACTCAGGAGGCTGAGGTGGGAGGATCGCATTGAGCCTGGGAGATTGAAGCTGCAGTGAACTATGATCATGTCACCTCACTCCAGCCTGGGTGACAGTGTGAGACCCTGTATTAAAAAAAAAATTAAAAGGGACAAATTTTTAATTTATTAATTCACTTAGAAATAAAAACAATACAAGCATTGCCTGTTAACGTTAATAGTTTTGAAGAACAGTTTTATTTTCCAAAACAAAGTATCTAGTGAGAAGAATGACATTGTTTTACATTTTTGCAAATTTCTTTAATGTCCTTAAGAGAAGACAGCTGGATTCTCAGGGCTCCTTTTGCATTCAGTCTGTTGCAATATGTTGTTTTCGTTGTAGGTGTGGAGAAAAACCTAGTTTCACACAGATACATAGTTGAAACAGTGAGGAGTATCTTAATACCCTTTTCAGATAATTGTATGTATTAGTCCATTTTCACATTGCTGATAAAGACATACCTGAGACTGGGCAATTTACAAAATAAAGAGGTTTATTGGATTTGCAGTTTCACATGGCTGGGGAGGCCTCACAATCATGGTGGAAGACAAGGAGGAGCAAGTCACATCTTATGTAGGTGGCAGCAGGCAAAGAGAGGGCTTGTGCAGAGAAACTCCCATTTTTAAAACCGTCAGATCTCTTGAGACCCATTCACTAGCATGAGAACAGCACAGGGAAGACCCGCCCCCAAGATTCAATCATCTTTCACCGAGTCCCACCCGCAACATGTGGGAATTGTGGGAGCTACAAGGTGAGATTTGGGTGGGGACACAGCCAAACCATGTCATTGTGGATATTATTATTTGATACCGTACCAAAACTTGATGCATGGTAGTTTACACTGTCATGTTAAAATTAATTGCTCTATCTGGCACTTTGAATGAATCTTTCCTGCTCTAATGATTGTATATATGTATATACTTTTGTATAATGATTATTATATATCCATCATTTGGAAAGTGCTGGTTCACTGAGTCACACAGACCTTCCCCGTGCACAGCTGAAAGCTCCACTGTAGAATTCTGAAAGGATGAGAACAAAAAACGCAGCTGGGGTCTTCGTATTAAGTTTTGACCTTTCAAACTCCCTCCAGGGTCTCATGGATCCCAGGAGTCCCTGAGCTGTACCTTGAGACCTGCTGGGCTGTAGTATAAATTGAATGATCACTGAATGCAAAGCCCTATGAGAGGATACGAAAGATATAAAACATTAAGCCCAATATCTTAACATTTAAAAATAAAAGCACGTGCAATTTGGTATGTGAGTCTGAGGAAAGGCAAATGAAGACCTGAACATATAAGTTATGAAGCAGAAGAAGCCATTCTGGGTCTCACTGTGTGTGAGAGAGTGTGCACGTGTGTGTGTGATGTCTACATCTAACTGTGCTGCATCTACATTGTGATGACTTGATGTTCCCAAGCCACAGAGGCACATTGTGCCAGCCTCTCAGGAGCTGAGGGGTGCCTGGAGAGTTTGGAATGACCAGAGGCCTGTGTTGGCCAATGGGAGTGGGGCAGAGAAAAAGCAAGGCTTAGAGGAGGCCTTTAAGGAAGGGCAGGACAGAGTGTAGTGGGGAAGTGCAGACCCCACACTGTTGGGACCACAGATTGTTCATCCTAGTCCTTCTGAAGGAGGTGGGGACAGCCTGAAGTATGCTTAGCAAATCAGAGCTGAAAGCAGGCTTCCTGAGGCCACTCTAGGCCTGAAATGGCACTTGACCATATTGACCAGACAGAGCTATGAATGTACCTTCAAGTGACAATGACGTGCAAAGGTCCACTCCCCTGATTGACTCTGTCATCTTGAACCATTTGTTTTTTCTTTTTTAGATAACATGTTTTATTGAAGTGTAATTTATATGCAGTAAAATACACAAATCCTTGATGTATATAGCTCTGTAACTTTTTAATATAGGATTCTTGAATATTCACCAAGACAAAGACAACTTTCTGTTGCTCCAGAAAGTTTCCCTTGCTCCACCTTACTCAACACCACTCTGCCCCTGCACTCAGGGGAAACCACTGTTCTGACTTCTGTCACCACAGATGAATTTGATCCATTCTTCAACCTCATCATACAGTATGTATGCATGTCGCATTTGAGAGTCATCATGTTGTTGCCCTTGTCAGTGGGGCATGGTTTTTTGTTTGTTTGCTGAGTTGTACTCCACATGAATAGACCAAAATTTATTCCTCCATTTTCCTGTAGATGGAATGTTGGGTTGTGTATGGTTTGCTGCTATAATCATATGTGGATACTGTGGACAGAGGGTATGCATTTTTTTCTCTAGGATCTAACTGCCATAGCTGAATTGCATCCACCCCCACCAAAACAAAAATGAAAACATTCATAAGTTGAAGCCCTAATCTTCCAATTAGATTGCTTTGGGGTGGTTGGAGATAGGGCCTTTGGGAAGTAATTAGGCTCAGATGAGGTCATGAGCGTGGGCCCTCATAATAGGATTAGTGCCCTTCTAAGAAGAAACACCAAAGCCCTCACTTCCTCTCTGTTTCTTCGCCATATGAGGACACAGTGAGAAGTCTGCAAGCCAGGGAAAGACACTCACCAGGAGCTGAATCAGCCAGTACCTTGACCTTAGACTTTCCAGCCTCCAGAACTGTGAGAAATAAATGTCTGCTGTGAAGTCCCCAGTGTATGGTGTTCGTTATAGCAAACAGACTAAGTCTTGCCTAAGGAGACTAAGACACATGGCAGGTGCCTTGGTGTTATATATAACAAATATTTGTTAATTTGATTTTTTTTGATCCATGTCTATTTCAAAGGCAATGTCAACATCAAATGACAATCTAGAGGGAAAAATGTACAATGAAAATATTTTTAAAAACAGTACTCCTTGTTATTGATCATGTTTTATTTTAAAAGGAAATATACAATTTAAGTAATTTAAGGAAATATGATGCGCAATGGTCCACTGGGCAAAGGACTTAAGTGGACATTTCTCCAAAGATGATGTACAAATGGCCAACAAAAGTGTGAAAAGATACTCAACATTGCTAGCCATTAGGGCAATGCAAACCAAAACCACAATGAGATATCACTTCATACCCATTAGGAAGGCTATTATTAAGGAAAAATATGAGAAAACAATGTGTGTTGGTGAAGATGTAGAGAAATTTGATCCCCTGTGCACTGTGAGTGGGATTGTAAAATTGTGCAGCTATGGAAAACAGTATGGTGGTTCCTCAAAAAATTAACAATAGAATTGCCATATGATCCAGCAATTCCACTTCTGAGTATGTATCCAAAAGAATTGAAAGCAGGATCCAGAAGAGATATTTGCACACTCGTGTTCATAGCAGTATTATTCACAGTAGTTAAGAGGTAGAAGAAACCCAAGTGTCCATGGAGGGATGAATGAATAAACAAAACGTCATACCTACGTACAATGGAATTTTATTCAGTCTTGGAAAGAAATTTTAACACGTACTATATAGCATGGATGAACTTTGAGGACATGATGCTAAGTGAAATAAACCAGTCAAAAAAGACAAATACTGTATGATTCCGCTTATATGAAGTATCTAGAGTACTCAAATTCATAGAAAAAGTGGAATGGTAGTTTCCAGGGACTGGGGCAGGGGTAAATGGTGAGTTGTGTAATGGGTACGGAATTTTAGTTTTGCAAGATGAAAAAGTTCTGGAGATCAGTAATGTGAATTTATCTAACTCTATTGAACTTTACACTTCAAGATGACATTTTTAAACCACATTTTTAAAAAATTGAAAACAAACCCAGAGATAAAAGCCTTACCTCTGAAATCAGGTGAGCTAACGATGAAGGTAAGATTGGTGGTCAGTTCATATGTTTAAGGGAATTGTTCGAACTAGCTGGAGAGTGGCTTCTTAGTATTCTTGCAAAGCACATCCGAGTGGCATCCAAACTCAAATGCGCCATGCTCAGGCCCAACGCTGGCATGATTCTTGAGTCATTAGGAAGGATTCCTTACTATGGAGACCCCTGTCTTCTGGTCCCTCTGGTTTGCAGGTGGGGATGAACTGGAGGAATAAAGCCACGTTGTCCACAGGACATGTGTCCCTAGAACTTCCCAGGAGCAAAGACAATGGTGGAGGAAGACTCAGGGCCAAGCCCGCCAGGGTGACCCACAGGGTGGATGATGTCCCTGGGAAGGCAGGGCACTTTGGGCTTCTTGAGAGAGGAGAGGCAGGAGCAGAGTAAAACTACCAAGAACCAGCCGGACCCTGGGGTGGGGACTGGGTCTTTCGCAGACCCTGCTTCCATGGAGCTCTCTTCTGCAAAAGTGACAAGTTAAAACTGGGTTCAGAGTTTTAACTTGCCCTTGGTAGCCTGAGGCCACTGTGACTGTCGTGGGCCAGAAGTGCTATAAAAACCTGATGAGTGTTTGGAATGAAGGTGTACCCGTGGATGGAGAGAGAGGAGCTATTCCTATTCGGGGATCCTGATGTCTTCACACACTTGCCTGACCCCCACTCCTGAAGCTCCTTGGTCATCATATCATATAAAGGAGGACTTGCAGACCTGTGCTGTGGCCAGAGGGGCTGGGCGTGGCCGTTGCTTCACTGTCCCAGAATGAATTCATCATCCTGGCAGTAAAAGAGAAGAGGTGGGGCACCTGCTGGGCTGGGCTGGGCTCACCTGCGACTGTTCTGGAGGAAGGGAAGAAGACCGATGGCCTCAGACAGTGGACATGGACTGCGAACTTGGCTGGGCCTCTGCTTTGTCGTTTGGGTCATGCTTTCCTTTCCTCTTGGGAGACATTAAATGGGAGCCTAGGGGGCCGAAGCATCAAGTGGCGCCGTTTCCTCCCTTCAGAGCCAACCCTGCTGGGCTTCTCGGGTCAGATCAGCCCTGGCCCGGGGTCAGCCCGGCGGGGAAAGCGGCCCCCCTCCGCTGGCGACCTCAGAGCTCCAGGGCACAGCCCAGCGCACCTGCCCCTCCCACGCCTGCCCAGCGCACCTGCCGGGTCCGCACCTGCACCTGCCATTTGCCCGACTGGCTGCGCACCCAGCTGGCACGCCCCTGCCCGACACGACTGCTGACCGCCCCTTGCCTTCCTGACCCGGGGGCTCAGCTGGCTGCTGTCGCCTGGGAGCTGCCGCCAGGGCCAGGAGTGGAGCGGCACCTGGAAGATGCGCCCGTTGATAAGCGGTGAGTGCGCCCCCGCCTAGGGGCGGGGGTAGGGGCGGGAAGGAGGACACCGGGGGAAGGGTCGCTTCCTGGCCGTGCCTGGGACCCTCCAAACTGAACAAAAGGGTGAGAGCTGGCGCTTGGCGCCGAGGCTAGTCTTAGACCTGGGATCAGGAACGCGGGAAGCGATTCCAGAGGGGGCGAACAGCGGTGGTTTCTAGCAGGGTTCCCCGACCTTGTTTCCCTGCGCTCTCCCGGCTGTTCCCGCCGCCCCAGCCGGGGTGCGTGGCGTAGGAGAGGAACCTGGAATGTAACATTGTAACATTTTACTTGGAAAGTAGGTTGGAGGGGAGCCCAGGCACAGCCCCACACCCCTCCTGGGCTCCCCACCCTTCTCCTTCCTGGAGAGGGTACATGCCTGCCTGCACCCCGACCTCGCACGCCAGGTAGGGGCTGGCCGCTGCCAGTTGATAAGGCTTTTTTTTTTTCCCCATTTTTCAAACGACTTGACACTGTAGACGATTTGGAAAAATAGGAAAAAGGAAAGGAGAAACCCATTATTTTGACCAGTCATCACCGTTTCTTGCCGTCTGTCTTAGCTGTGTCTCTGTCCTCTGTCACTTTCCTGTCACAAGCCATCTCGGGTCCTGGTGTCCACTGCCCTGGCCTCTGTCACACATGCCCTTTCTAATTGGTTTTGCGGGTCTCCTCCTATAATCTGAAGAATGTGGATTCCTCCTGGAGCGACGCAGCCTGGCTGTGTGTGAAATGGAAGGTTCAGAAGTGGCAAGTTATCTGGGCCTCTTTGGTAGATCACTTCCTGGTCTGGGATCTCAGGTCCTCTGTGGTGAGGGTGTTGGACTAAACCATCGCCATTCCTGCCAGCACCAGCATTCTGGTGGTGATCACACTCCAGCAAGTTCTAAATGCTGTCTTTTCTGCACCATTCGCAAATGTAGGAAAGCCGCATTTTAAGATTTTTGCTTTGTGTAGAATATTCATATTTTCCTTAAAAACTATGAATGACACTGTTTTTGATAACTTGTGTGGATTATAGGAGAGATATATATCTCCTTCCTTAGGGCACCAACTTTCATTGTAGCTATTCTGGAAGAGTGTTTTCCATGATTTCTGTATTGTATAATTATTATTTCCTGGTGACTTCTGGACAATACCGAATATGATTACATTGCTTTCCCTCACTTTTGATTTCATGAACTAAAGATCAGGAGGCATTCTTGGAGTGGGCGTTGTCCTGGACGCTTCTGTCCAGTGCTGGGTTTGCTCCAGGCAGACGTTCCCAGGAGGGACATTCAGACTGAATGGAAGGAGCAAGTTGAGCTGCCACCATGCCTTCACCTGCAGGGCCTGGTAGTGGGTATCTTTATGCCTTGAGATGGGCATTGGCGTATGGACAGTCAAGGCGGGTTATGCTGCACACCTGCTGTGGTGTTTCAGAGTGGCCCTTCGTAGCACTTCTGCCAAAAAGCCCTCCTGCCCAGTGCCCAGGACTGTGATGACAGTGGACACTGAGGCCAGCAAAGCCTGGGATCCCAAAGACAGTGAGTCCCAAAATACGGACCATCCACCCTCAGCAATCCTGGCCTCTCAAGTACAAAAGGTGTGGGTGTGGCCTTCATGGTGAGGTGATCTGAATACATGTTGGCAAGGCAGCAGTGACAGCAGCTTCCCTGTCCTCATTCAGGTTGAAGGAAATCCCACCAATAGAAGTGGATCCTAGGGCCTGAGATTGCCCTTTTTAGGTGGCCCTTGGATTGGAGGGAGGGAGAGAGCCCTAAAATCCTCCTACCTGTAACCCGGCGTCATATCCATTTGGTTTCAGGATTACTTTCTTTCTGGCACTTTTTAGATGTTTATTGTTTACAGACAGGGTCTTGCTTTGTAGCCCAGACTGAAGTGCAATGGAGTGATCATAGCTCACTGCAGCCTTGAACTCATAGGTTCAAGTAATCCTCCTGCCTCAGCCTCCTGAGTAGCTGAGAGTACAGGCACATGCCACCACGCCCAGCTAATTTTTTTAAACTTTTTGTAGAGATGGGGTCTTGCTATGTTGCCTAGGCTGGTCATGAACTCCTGGCCTCAAGCTGAACTCCTGGGCTCCTCGGCTTTCCAAAATGCTGAGGTAACAGGTGTGAGCCACTGCCCCCAGTTTCTGGCTCTTAAGTGAAGCAGCGAGGGTGCTCCTGAGACCCCTGTGGATCTGAGAGTGGGGATTGGCTGGGACATGTGCACATGCACCCACACACATTCACACAGAGGCAGACACACTAGAGGTGAGTCTCTTAGGAGAAAGTTCACTGGCTTTCCTCCTGTGCCAAGAACAGCCTTTGCTGTAACACTCATCCTGTCTGCTGCTCAGCAAGCACAGTGGAAGACATTTCCATGAGCCAATGATGACTTTATTACCTTACGGGGAAAGGCAGGATCCTGGTTACAAAATCACAGAAGTGTTCCTGGACTCTGTACTTCCTGCCCCGCCTCTGAAGCTGATGGGTCTCCTCCCCTTGGGGCAGGCCCATCAGGGCTCCGGGAGTTGTCTTAGTGGAGGCCCTGGGCTCCCAAGCTTTCTTCTTCCCAAGTGTGTCCCAGCTTAGGGGCTGATTCTTCCCTGCTGCCTGGTGTCTGAGCCTCTGTCTTGACAGGCTGCCTTGGCTCCTGCCCATCCTGCTTTCACACCCAGGACTGAGCTCTGATTGCTGGTGTTCAACCCACAGAGAGGCTGTGCCACAGCTCACCCGGTGCTATATTGGGGCTGAACTGTGCCTCCCTGCACAACTCCCCAACCCCGTTTACATGTTGTCGTCCTAATCCCTGCCCAGTATCTCAGAATGCGACTGGATCTGGAGATAGGGTCGTTAAAGAGGTATTTCAGGTACAATGAGGTCATCAGGGTGAGCCCTGATCCGATCTGATTGGTGACCTTATAAGGAGGAGATGAGGACACACACAGAGGCCCTGTGAGGACACAGGGAGAAGACACCATCCACAATCCAAGGAGAGAGGCTCAGAGGAACCTTGATCTTGGACTTCCAGCCTCCAGAATCTTGAGAAAATAAATTTCAATTTCAATTTTTTTTTTTTGTCTTGCTGTCACCCAGGCTGGAGTGCAATATTGCAGTCGTAGCTCCCTGCAACCTCAAAGTTCTGGGCTCAGGCAATCCTGCCTCAGCCTCCTGAGTAATTGGGACTACAGGTCTGCACCACCACACCTGACTATTCTTTTAAAATTTTTCTGTAGACATGGGGTCTCATTATGTTGCCCAGGATGGTCTCAAACTCCTGAGATCAAGCCACCCCTCCACCTTGGCCTCCCAAAGTGCTGGGATTACAGGCGTGAGCCATTGAGCCCAGCCTAAATGTCTATTGTTGAAGCCTCCCAGTTTGTGTTAGTTTGTTACAGCAGCTTGAGGAAATGATGCTGCCTGCCTGGATTTTGTCTGTCACCTCCTGGCTACTACGTCCTGCCCTCTCTCTCGTGGCTGGGATACTTCTGTGACTTTGTGCTAGACCTGAGCACAGGCTGCTGGTCCAGCTTACCACGCATCTTCTGATGATGTGCCGATCCCAGTGCCGGTGACTGGATCTGCCTCCAGACTCTAGGTCATGGCTTCTCCCAGCCAGGTACATCTCCCAGCCATTGTAATCTAGACTGTCCCCAACCTAGAGGCCATTGGATGTGCCCCTCACCCAAAGCACAGATACTCTCTAGTCTTCCTGGGAGTCCTGAAAAGTGTCCCGGAAGAGAGCTCCCTGCCACACCAGGACCCGCCATGGGCTAGCTACCCTTCTTCTTGTGAGGACACTTGGCTATTTATTCTCCATTTTCTTCTCTGTCATGTCCACCTATTTGTTTTTGTTCAGCTGAGGACACAGTTACCTCTTCCTTTGTGTAGCTGCTTGTTAACACATTCAAAAGGTAGATAATGTTCCTTTTCAACCTGCTCCAAGCTAAACAGCAGCTTGTTGCTCAGGATCTCACGTGTGGCATGTTGTCTAGAAGAGTCTCTGAACATTGTCTGGTTAGCCAGTTTCCTTCTTCAAATACAACACTGGGGTGAAATAGTCCAACTGTGACCCACATGCACAGGATACAGGGGACAGCCCTTGCCTTTGTCACAGCTGTTGTCATAGCCCACTCTGCACTCTGTGTTCATCCAATAGAATTTTCTGGAACGTCAGTGACCCACACAGTGTCCCAGGCATGCTGCGTGGCCCTGGAGGGAGGCATCTGTGGCATCTGTGTGGGCGCTGTGGCTGGGCTGCGTAGGGAAGAGCACCCTCTAGGCAGAGACCACTGTTGCAGAGGAGTGAGCCCGGGAGTGTAGCGCCCATAGGTGGCTGAGCACAGCCGTTGGCACTGCTGCAGGAGAGGGACTTGCAAGGCCACACCTGTCTCTTTTTGTTTTCTGTGTCTGGTTTAACTACTTTGAGATGCCCCTCCAGTCCTAGAAACTGCACTGATCACACTGCCTTGGGCCTCTCCCCAGAGGAAACCACCTATGCTTACTAGTCTAACAATCTTAGCAGTTTGGAAATTCAAAATTTAAAAATGGTGTTGAAATATGCATTTGAAAAAGCAAAACAAAGCAAAACCCCAAGGCTAACCAGAAACATCTCGTTCCATCCCCATGGCTCCCTCTGCCGAAGCACTGGGCCTCCAAGCACAAGCACACGCTGCCTTGGTGCAGTACAGCCAGTTCATGGGCTGGGGACAGCTGCGTTCCTGAGAAGGGAAGGACGATCTCTAGGTGCTGGAAGTTCAGCTGAGGTCCAGAGCTGCACCTTGGGTGGGTGGAGGGGTGGAGCCCATTGTCGGGCCCTTCAGACTCGACGTTCCCTTCTCTTCCTTTCCTTTTTCCTCCTTTCCTCATTTCCCCTTCACTTCCTTTCTTCTTTCCTCCCTGTCTCTCCCTTCTTCCTTCCTTCTCTTACTTCTTAGGACTGTACCTATTAGCACATACTTAAATGCATTAGGCACATACACCATGACCCATCCTACT